GAGGGGACAGAGTGGAAGGCTGGCGGGCTTCCGGGACCATGGAGGCCAAAGCCCAAGGACCATGTGACTGAGAAGCTGAGAACCGGAGAGACTTGACTGCTGGCAGAGGAGACCAATGACAATATCCCTACTGTGTGCAGATCCTGACTTGTGGTTCCACCTTAACTTCCCCAATACACTCCCATAACCATGAGGATTGTCCGTGAGGCCTTGGTGGCCATTGGACAAATGATCGAGCCCCACATCGCTGTGGAGTGGCGCGGGAGGAACGACTGGTGTCAGAAGCGGTAGCGAGGAGAGAGCAGGGAGCCTGGTCCGACCCAGCGTCTTGGCAATACAGAAGCCAGAGGAGGTAAGATAATCACTCATTGTCATTCCCTTGTCGTTCACCCCAACTCTGACCCATCCCTGATCTGCAACATCTCCCACTGTCTCTCAAAAGAGCTCGAGAGTCCTCACCCCTCACGGGGAAAGAGACTTAGGAAACTTTTTTGGAGACTATTATGCGATTCCCAGAGAAGGCTAGGAATTTGACCAACATTCCCATAGGCGACCATTTCTCTTCCTGACCAGGGGGTGCAAAATGCTTGGAAGCTGAAAACTTGGCAGAGCTCAACCCCAACCTCTGCTACTCAATCACCCAGGAGCTCCACCATCTCTCCCCATGATCCTGGTCCCCAACACACACCCCTCCACCCCCCACCTCCGTCCACGTCATCAGCCACCACACCCCACCTCTCTCTCTGAAGTAACATGGCCCTGACCACAGCTGTGGAGAAACCTGGACAAGCGAAATCCCACACACTTTTGTCTTCCCCAAATCAGGGATGTCAGGTGTGGGGTGTGAGGGAGGCCAGGAGGCTGGGACAGAGAGAGGGGTCTGTGATGGGTTCCTGGAAGGAGGGAAAACCAGACACCTGGAATGGCCTTGTCACCACTGAACCTCATTCCTGCCTGAGAGGGGCCACCTCCCCTCACCTGGGACTGGCTTCCTGGAAGAACAGGTGGTATGGTATGGGCTGAAAACCGATGGAACGAAGTTAGGGCTCGTTGTCTGATCACGCCTCTCTTCGGCTTCCTCCCTACTTGCCCAAATTTTTCCCAGTACTGCCGTGTGCACCAACCCCCTGGGAACACTGGGGCTGGGGAGACCCTCAGCAAGTTAGGAAACGGGTCTGGAAGCGGACAGGCTTTGTTCTTTTCCAAAACCCACTTTGCAGCCTGCTTGGTTGGGACCATCCCTGGGAAAGAGCACTGTGGGTCTCTATCCTCCAGAGGGCTGACTATCCTCACTGCCTGTCCTTGGAACTGGGCCTGGCCACCCCAAGATGTGGGCTGGGGATGGGGCTGGGGTAGGGCATTCTATAGGCAACCAGGAGGTGGCCCTACGCTCAGGTGCCCTGCCCACTGCAGGAATGAGCTTCCTTTCACTGAAATACTTGCAGGTGCCCAGTAACTTCTCTCTCTCCAGAGCTGCCCCCTCCCTCAGCCCTTCTCCCTAGAGGGGCTCGCTCCATCTAGTTGGCCAAGCCATCCTCCCAGGCCTCAGAGACCCCAGCTCCTGGTGGGCCCAATGACACATGACCCCATCAGCCCCTGAATGGTCTTGCTGACCATTCAAATCAGCAAGAGAAGGCTCAGGGGGTGGGGGCAAGGGGCTACCCACGTCCTACTCCTAGGGGGCTGTTGTTTCCCGTGATAAACATCCCTTCTCATCGAATCCCTCCCAGGTTCCCCCTGGCTTGATAGTTTTGCTCAATTTCCTCTCCTCACTTCCTGTCTTGTCCTCCCTATTTTATTGTTTGAGATTTCTGTCTCGATGGGAGGAGTCCCTGTGTGGCACAAATGGTTAAGCAGTCAACGACTAGCCGGAAAGATGGGTGGCTGGC